GCAGCGTAACAAAAAAAAGGCGATCGGGGCGACTGCTGCGGACGTCGACTCTCGTTTCTTCTCGATGTGCCATATCTTCGCAACTTGCATTTACTGTATGTCCCGGGAATGCGAACTGCAGATCCTTTAATCCCTCACTCATGTGCTTCAGAATTTCCAGCGGGACAACGCGGCCAGGAAAAGTCTTTTATTTTGCCATGATAATTACCATTACTGGCCAGGAGTGTGTACCTATACAACAGCGTAAGTGGAATCTTGTGTTCATTGCTGCTTTTCCAAATTCCTCGCACACAAGTGGGTCAGAGTCCTCCAAACGTTACTCAGTCCGCGGCTGGAGGTACAAGGGGTACAAGGGTGTGTAGTTCATTATGGAGTTGCCTCTTATTGCTTCTGGACACAATTTTTTTTGTGGGCGCCAACTTTTTGAAACATAGAAATGCCAGTGTCAGCAGGCGTCATCGAACTGCTAGCACACCGTCCCCTCCCCTTTTTACTATCACGGTTTTCCTTAAGCCTTAGTTTGTAATCGATAGGCTCAATCCCAGTTAGACCTAGGGCGTCACTTCTCAATCTGTTTCTGCATAGAGGTCGCCGCGTTTTTTGATTACCGCCATCAGACGGACGTCCAAACTGAACGTGTTGGTCGTAGGTTGGAGCACCTGCTTTGGGCGAATAGTCAGTCCAACGAGAGGGACTGCGAGCAGTTTCTTTGACCCGTCGAAGTGGCCTACAATAGGAAGTGTCATGAAAACGTCACTAGACCTTCCTGTCTTCGTTTGAAGCTATGATCGGCTGGAACCCACTCACGCCGCCGACCTAAACACTGTCGGTTCGTTGGGACCAACTCTCACCCTTCAATGACTATACATTTTCGAAAGGTCCGTAAGCGCGCCAGCTCCTAGGCGTCAAGTGGCAACAAAAGTCACAAGCAAACTCCAAAAAAAGTGTATTTGAGTACGCTATGTGCGACAATGACTTGATCAACAGCAGCCACACTCAGTACTTCAAGCATGCTGTACATTGGACTCTTGCCCTTGCGGGCCTTTCACCATAATCAAGCACATTGGTGCGGCGGTACATTGCCTGGCATTTTCGCATACGTAATCCTGCCATGCTGTCTATTCCAACCAACTTGCGACCCACCGCACAAGTGACCCTAGCTTGGTCACCGAAGGAGCCGCTGCGATGGCTTTCTGTGCTTGGCGTGGATGGTAACCGCGCTGATTAGTAAAAGGCCGACTGCACCTTGAATAGGCAGGCCCAGGCAACTTAATTTAGTGCTCCTTCAATTGCTGGGGAAACTTTCAAGATGGCGTTACATGGAAACCAATCTAATGCCTCACAGACTGCACTGCATTCCTTAAGAGCGTGGAAGACGCTGCATGCGCCGCCGTCAATGGACAGCTACCACACACCGCCTCGCTCCTACGTTCCATGCCACGGTAAAACGCGAGGAACAACGAACCTAGAAATGCAAGTGGAGTGGAGAAGGGTGCAAGAGATTACGGTAAAACAGAAGGATAGAGGTTCACCTAGGGCGTTAAGTTCGCTGCATTTTTCAAATGGTTCTTTTAGTCTTGGTTCATGGTTTCGCAGGCTGATGCATTACAGGAGCTAGTGCGAGGAAAGGAGAGGGAGAGAGACTGTTGTTGTGCAAGTGCTTGCGCACACGCACGTGTGCAGCGCAGTCACTTGATACAGCAGGATATTGTACTGCGCAGCATTACGGTGCTTGTCAAAAGTTTACTCCTGCTCTAACCCAAAGCTGGCATATCTTGTGTTGTTAGCAGGAATGAAAAATAATTAAAATATTAAAGCTTTAAGTACTCTTTAGCGCGGATTCTATTGGAAGGAAAGTTCAGCGAGTATATACCTGAGGTGGTCCAGGCCCAAGGATGCATATGCCGGCGCGTCCTTTCTCACCAAGCTCGCGGCAAAAAAAAGTGAGATCTGCAACATTAAAATATGCGAAAATGTAAACCACTGTCTTCGTTTATCGAAGACAAAGGGGCTTGCGATATCTCCTTGCATAGGCTGCAGTTTATCAACCACAATTATGTATTCGAGTCTATTTCTACCTTGTAGTTGTCCTGATGATTTTGCGGCGAGCTCGACGCCTTTCACATGCCTGCGACTTGGCAAAAACGGCGCTGAAGAGGCTTCACAAAGCTCGCCCAGATCTCAGTGCACTTTCAGCTGAAAACTTGCGCACGCCTTCTCCGACATTGCCAGTCGCCACATGGCCTTCAGCGAGATAAAAGTGATAATTTTCCGCTTATTTTCATTATATGTCTTCTTGGAGGCCGCTATTTACACTCTGTGGGAAGCATCCTGGGTGCCGCAGTCTTAGCTTTATTGGTCACCTAGCGGTACGTGTAGTGCTCAGACGCTAGAGCGTGCTGGCAACCTCTAGAGGATAGCACGCCGGAAGAACACAGAAAATTTACTACTAACGATAAACCAAAACAATATATACGCGAGACATCAAGCATAGACAAGGAGTGTTTGTTGATATCCTAAGGTTGGTGCTGGCGGTGGCGCCGGCAGGAGAGTCAGAATTGTACTTCTCCGACTTTTCAAGAGGATTCAACTGAGAGACTTGAGGGGCGACTGATTATTAATTATTTGACGCTTTTTAATGAGATGCGTGTCAAAGGTAGAGAATTCGTTTGCGGTCCATCTAATTTGTGTGCAAGGAAGTCACGTAGTAGCAGGAGAGAACGCTGTTCAGTACAATGCGTGTTGTTGTTCGGCGGCCTGATGCACGTTTTCTGTCCATTATATTGCCAGTCATCAGTGCCTCTACCACTTATGGTGTTCATTTCGTCAGTGCCCATGTCACTTTTGCAAGGCTTCCCCCGTATGCACTTGTTTTGAAAATGCAGAATATCGCTCCGTAATTGGCGGAAGAGACAACCGAAGGCTGGCTGATAAAGACTTCCCCCGTCTGAAAAAGTGCTGCCACCACGTAAAATTGATTATAGTGACAGTCACGGCACTGAAGCCTTAGTTCCTTAGTGTTATTGTTGGGGACCCTGAGTTTTTCATCCCTCGCTGATCTCGTTGAAAGCCGTATACCCTTTTCTCGGAGAAATGTGTTAAAATTGACCAAGGTCAAAACGGCTTTCTGCCAAAATTTGACCCATGTGTGTTTTACGCAGCTTACGCTGAGTCTAACCATGACGCTAATATATAAGCATTGCTTATTATTTAGCACCAAAAAACATTGAGGGACTTTCCTAATGCCTCTAATGTAAGAAATTTTACAATAGAAAACTCCTTCCATATGAGAGACCCTATGACAGGTAACTTGCCCTTATCAGGGGCGCGCTTTACCGCTCAAAAAATATATTTTTTTACTTTTTCAATTCTATGAGGACAACACAAAAAGCCAGAAAGCACAATAGATTTAATCTACGAAATAGCTACTTCTTGGAAAAAAACTGAAAGTTCTGACAACAAGCCAGAGCAACCCACATTTTCCCGATACTCTCGGGTAGAAGCATCTAGACGCAAGTTTGAAGATACTTTTTGGCAGCTCAACAGGAACTTCCTATTTCACCTGCTAATTCATTGCCCAAAAATGCAGCAGCAGTTGCAATACACATTTCTGAGGAGCAATAGGAGAATCAGAGTAAGCACAGCAGGAGGGGCCAGGGTCCCGGGTACTTCTCAAGCGTAGATGGCGGCGAAGGTTTCCCTCCTCCACGAAAATGTTTGCCAGACGTCTGGGGCAATTTTCCACTTGCTTATGCAAAGCCGGCCACCGGGAAATGACATTTAGAATATTCAGGATTTATTTAGCTTTTTTTGTTGCCACATGTGTCTCTTGCGCATTAAAGTTTAAACGAGCATGCTTACAGCAACTACGTTACTTCACTCTGCGCTTCTCTATTGTTCCTTAGTATCATCTCGTAAGGTAACTACATTTTCTTCTACATATGAAGGCAATGCTGCCTTAAATGAAGCATGCTTTATTGTAGTATTACCATCCCAATTCAGCTCTCTCGCTGCCATGAATCAGCAAAGTGCTCCAGGAGACTGCACATCACCTCTGCTCACTTTGCCTGATTTATTGTCTCTCCAGTTGCCGCTAAGAGATTTGTGTCAACATAGGCTTGAAGAATGGGGGGTAATAGGGCTAGGTGTGTAGCGCTCGAGCGGCTTTCCTGCACTGGACGCGTAAGCGTGAAGGCCCTCCTAGTCAGTATTTGCAACTGCACAACTTCATGTGGACATTTTATCGTAGTCCCATTTCGCGCTCGTAAAGCTATAGTATTTCGACGTGCAGTAAAATAGGGTTGATTGTGGTTAAACAGTGAAACAAGCACGTCATATGCGGGTAAGTGTGCTGCGACGTATTTCTGCGTTTAGGACCTAACATCTTCTGTTATCTCATGCTTATTTATTAGCTGAACACATGAGAGTGGGATCTGATAAAAAGAATCGGAGCAAATTGTAATGAACTGTCTGAGCGATCAGTCACGCGAGCCATTCATAACAAGCCCCAGACTGTCTCAGGCGAATCTGCCAGTTTTATGCCTCAAAATGCCATATTTTTGTTAAATTTGAAATTAAATGACTTAATGTTTTTGCGAAATTTGCAATTAGGTCTGCACAAATTCAATGGAGACCTCATGGCACCCGTGCACGTCCCATGCTGACCATGATGCCAGCATTACAGCGGCTTGTCCATCATCGAGCACTTCTTTGTGGGCGTTTACAGCCCCCAAGAAGGTGTCTTTCTGTTATAATTCGTCACATTCTTTTTATCAATTTCACCTTTTGAGGAGGATAAGTGAAATAAACGTAAGGGTATGCTAGTCTTCTAAGTTTTTCATGGCGTTCTCCCTCCATATGTCGGGAGTGCTCATGACGTTGTGCAGGGATTCGACAGCTGAAGAAGGCCGTCGTATCGTTTGTTGCTGCAAATTTGCTCTCACCAAATAAATTCCATCTGCGAAAGAAAGAGTACGAGCCCGCGAGGCGACACATCTAAAATGGTGGTGCCAGACACTGGAATTGGTCGCATGTCAGAGGAACACATGGGAACAGTGATCAAGGACTCCGACGAATGGTCATTCATTGAGTACATGCTTCAACTTACCACTCGCACATCACGTGTAAAGCTTCTTCAGGTCTGGCACGTTGCATCTCCGCATGTCATGAATCTATTTGAGAGACGCACAGCGGTAAGTGGCCCTGTTTGTATCCTCCTTCCTCCATGGAGGACTCCAGCTGCACTTAGTTTCATTTGCACCGGATGATTAATTTTTTAGATCTTTCTACCCCCATCGTGCGTAGGTAGCTTCTGCCGAACCTTGAGACTGGTCACCCAAACTATTGTTTGTCACGCAAGGCGCCTTTTCACGTGTAGCCGACACTGTGACACCATTTGCGCTGTTGCTTATTCAGAAGCGGCTGGTGGTATATTCATTTGTCGATGCTTCACTGCTTGATGAGGAAAACACCATTCAAGACGTAGCGAGGCGCGGTTTTAAGATAGGCCCTCGGGGGATGAAATTCGTTCTAGGAAACTTCAGGTGTGTGTTAATGGACCTATTTTGCAGTAAAACACAACGCCGTTGCTAGTTGAAACAAGTGTGCTATAGTGCTGTGGGTAGAACGGTGGGCGCCAGTGTGCATTTGCGCATGCTCACAAAGTTTGCAGGGAATCCCTCTTCTTCGCGGAGATTCCGCTAAGGCCACGGACCCATTCACGCTTACTTCTCGTGAGCCAGATATATGGAAATATATCAAATGCATTAATGCATCGCTACTGCCCCTTCTGCACCATGGGCCTCAGTGAAGGGCCCCTTGTCCCACGCTTGGTCCTGCTTCAGTTGTTTTTGCCTAGTTAATAGCGGTAAATCAGTCAGGTACAAGTAGGCGCCTTCATGTCCTCGCTCATTTTATTGCTCAGCTGAGCTAAAAGGCAGTGTGGAAGAACAACAAAGACATGACCGGTCAGACTTTATGGAGGCCGCGAAGTCCCAGCTCCTTAGTGGAGAACGGCGAGTCTTTGAATTTTTCCTCTGTAAAGTTGGTGAGATGTTGCACTCTAGAATACCGAAACAGTACAGTCTACAAATGCTTGTCCCGCAGTGACTACGATGGATGTAGTTCACTTTTGAGCTGCCTTGACAGTCTGGGCAAGCGTTTTTACTCGGAGACAGGTTCCGTGGCATCAGAATGCAAACTGTACTTTCATGCGCTGTAGCTGCAGAGCACTGCAACATGTGGTGTGCTTGTTTCGCAGGAGTGGGTCACTCAGTAGTCATGTCCGACGAAAAGGAAGCGTCAGGAGAACGCACCACGCTCCCGCCAGAATACGATAGCGCCTATCTTCAAAATGGAGATGCAGCTCCTACAGAGACACTTACGGTCTTCTTTGATGACGTTGACCAGAATTTGACCAGAGGGTCGTCCCGTAATAGGAAGACTGAAGCAACTCGGCAGTTGAACAAACCAATCACCAAAGCTACAGCGGGAGTACTGCCCCGACACACTTTTCGCCAGGAATACGTCGTTTACGATTCATCACAGGTGAGGTTTTTAAGTACCATTTATACTGATTTAGTCTGGATTTGCTATTGGACGGACGTGTCCGTTTCGCATCTGCTTGCTGAAGGTGAACGAGACGCCGGCTGCTTCAGTACCTCAAAATGCGTCTTGCGCGCCGGACTGTGCGATTTCATAGGTAGTGCCTAACTATTTGGTGCTCTTTGAAGTGAATCCTATGGAGCCTGAGCTATTCGCGGTACCGCTCTGCGACACCTGTCAGGAGTTTCCCGCATCAGTTTGGTGCCCTGCTGACATGGCCAAGTATGTACAATTTATCGGAGGTCTGCTTTGTATCTACTTGTGTAATCTAGTAGCTTGCGAATTTGAGGTTTTTTTGTGAGCTGAAATGGAACCATCAGGCTGTGCGATGCCTGCGATGAGCGCCTGCATTCCCACAACAAACTCGTTTCAAGGCACATTAGAGTCCCATTGAATGAGGTGAGGAAATGCCCACGTATTCCAGTCATTATATGAGAACTATGGGGTGGTGTCCAAAGTATGGGGCGAGACGCCTACTAGTACTTTGTGTCCCTGTCTGCTCAGATGCCCAAGCCAAGCGGACGCTGTAAACAGCATGCAGGAGAAACCTACGAAGCCTTCTGCACAATGTGCCATGCTCCTGTTTGTCGGCTGTGCCGGCCCAACCACATTCATGCGGATGTAACTGGCGGATTGGCGGCCAGAGATCCTGAAGGTAGACTGAGTTCGACGTCGCGCCGGTTTGCTAGTGGAGACTTTCTGTTTGACCATGTTTAACCCTGAGAGCATCCATTTGGCGCCCCTTGTGCAGGCTCTTGATATTATATTTGTCTTGTCTGCGTCACTGTCAGGAGCTTGCACATTAATACCGCTGTCAATTGCGTACTCTGGCATATTGGAGAGAGGCCGCCAGCCCCACCTCATTTTGGAGAAACGCAGAAAAGAGCTTCGGGGGAGACTCGAAGCTCTTCAAAGCCTCATCGAGTATGGCACCGTGGACACGCTCTCGGCAGTTGCTTCTGTATCTCTTTTCTTGTCGCCTAATGACACTGTTTCAATTTGTGCGTTTTTGACTGCAGTGGCGCTCGGTGTAACTGCCGCTCGGTCGAGCAGAGGTGCTACTGCATTTTGGAGGAAACGATGAATCAGCTGAGGGTGAGCAGTCAAGGCTTCAGGGCTACATCAACTTTAGCAGTGCTGCATGAGAGGCTGACACTCAACGATGATTCTTGGGATACACCGCCTGCATTGCACAGGCGCTTGCAAGCAGCGACGTTCTCTTGAATGTCCGGGGAGCGCGGTTGCTTCCTCAGCGGTGTCCTGAGTTTGTGCTGTGGGTTGAGTATTTTCTCAGTCATGCACGGAAGACAAAATGGGCATAGTTTTGTGCCAGCAGTTCGAGTTGCAAAGACAAATGGACATGATTGAGTGGAGTGAGCAATTTTTGAGACTCCAGCGCTCTGTACTTCCTCCAGCCGATTATTTAGCTTCATGGTAAGCCACCTTCCCAATTTGTTTTAAAGAGCTGAATTTTTGTGCACCAAGTTGGGACGGTACAGACCTATAGCTGTCTTGCTTTGGCGAAAAGTTTGAATCCTAGTCCCGGCACATACATCAGCTGAGTGGGCGGTCAGGCTTAGACATTGCCGCCTACGAGATGAGATGGAGTCCCTCGCGGGTGACTTTTCTGACCTCTCACAAATGGTTTTGGTGAGCATTCCGGATGGGCTTTCATTTTTGTTGAGCTGTTTACTGCACCTCTACCCATGTCAGCATCGCAACGCTTCATGCTACAGATATCCTGAAGGCTCTTTTGGGTCCTTTGCGTGGATTCTTTTTTGCAGCCAAATATGCGGTTGGAAGGCGCCGTCGAACTTCTCACGGATACAGCTTTACAGCACAAAGAACTCCACCGGCTGCGAGGAAGCAAACATTAAAGCCCTTCACCCAGAAAGGTAACCCGCAGCATGATTTGCAGCAGCAAATCGCTTCGGAATTGATGTGTCTTTGTTATGGCGTCTAGTAGACCCCCAGCTGATAGCAGGCCTTCTGGCAGTATGGCAGTCCGTTGCAGAATAGCGATGCAAGCTGCCACTTTTTTTTTGTGCACGTGCTGAGAAGTTTTGGTGCAAACCGCGCTCTTAGTGCCATCTACAAAGGTAGAAGTAGCATCAACATCGAGAAGCCCTTAAACGCGGCAGAGTAACTCTGGATGTAGCTAGCAAAATACTGCTAACTAGAAACGCCGGAAAGCTTGGAGGTGTAAATTTGCAAAGAGCAATCATTGACGGCCCATGGCTTTGAGGGTTTTAGCGGCCCATGGGCCGCTTAAACTCTAGGGGCCCACTATTCTGCTGGCATCCAGTGGGTCTTCACTTAGCAGGCGTACATCCTTACAAGAAGACCTCTTGAAAACGCCATCTTGGCACATCTTGAGGTTGGTAACGGGTGAACTTATTGTTTAGTGGTAGACACGGAAATACCAATAGGACTTGCTGCTAGCTAGGAAGAATTGGCTCCTTCAGAGCAACTCTGTGCAGGCCGCGTGACCAAGAGCTGTTGCGTGCAGGCCTTTTTAATGAGCATGCTAGAGGTCATGGCTTTCTGAATGTATGCTTTTTGTTTTGCTAGGTTAATTAGTGCAGTCTTGTAGGGTAGTAGCGGCGTTTTCCTGGTGGCACAATAAGACGTAAACACCGGCGTGTTGCAGGGCTGGGTGCCTAAAAACTGACGTAAATGCAGCTCCAGTCTATCTTGAAATCTTAAGGGCAAAAATACGGGGATTAAAAAGATGTGGCCCGAAAGAAAGGTCCTCCCACTGAGCACATGAACAGCCTGGTGGGATGAGTTATGCAGACAGGACTGCGACGACATTTACGGAGGGTAGCACAGAACGGTCGGCACCACCTTGAATTCCACGTTAACAAGGACTCTAAAACAGCCCTGAACACGGAATGCTCACAGTTGTTGCGATTCCCGAGAGCTTTCCGCGGTTCAGATGAAGCAAGATAATTTAAGAGGGGACCCTGCACACGCAGGCAAGTTTTTCGCATTACCCTGCACACGCAGGCAAGTTTTTCGCATTACAGAGTAAGGGCCTGCCCCTGCGCCGCCGATCTGTGGATAAATTACTGAAGGCCGGTTGCTGAGTAGACATGACTTAAGCCATCCAAGTTGAGATCATTCGCCACATATGTGTAGAAAGATTACAAACTGGTTGTTCATGTGGCTTTAATTAACGCGGCTGTGATGCAACTGTTACAGCTCAAAGGCTAGCAGCGTCTTGGGGAATCTACTCTCACTGTAGTTGGCGGCCAACGGCTTCCTATGAACCATTTGGAGGCTGCTCTGATGAGCAAGTGGATGTCTTCTGGATGACTTCTCAGTAAAGCTTATACTGTATGATCTGCTGCGGGAACGAAATTCGTCTGCATGCCACAGGCATCCGCATGGCTCAAACATGCTGAGAATCTAGGTGAAGAACAAACAATGAAATCAAACCGCGAAGAGCACTAGGAAAATAGGATAAATAGATACTCAGAAGTGGCTAAAAACGGCACTCCTGCAGAGCCGCCACACAGCATTTAGTCTCGACAGGTGTGCCGGATAACGGCACAGGCACCGTAACAGTCACATCTCCATCCCTGGAGCGATACACATGGCAGGCGAAGGCCATGGCAGATGGAAGGTGTGATCAAAAAGCTAGAAAAGCCGTGCTTAACGCCCTCCATAGTAGTTTCACAATCGCCGTGCCCTTACACTGTTCTTATAATATATTATGTTTGGTGGGTCGTTGCAGACAACAGTGGTGCAAAATGCACCTACAGAGGTCCTCAGAGTGTTACTGGATCAGCGAGCCGTGTTTCCTGACGGAATGCTGCTGGACTATTGCCGTATCCTCCCTAGGACTACAACGTCTTCCTACAACGACATCTCAGTGCTGCTTGGCAACTGAGATATCCGCAATTTGCTGTACAGTGCTTTATAAAACTGCTTCAAAAAGGGACGACTTGGGGGAATAAACGGGGTTGCTGGACAACCTAGACGGCTCCAGAGATAGCGACAGACCGGTAATGGGTTGGTATCAGCTGTTAGCGAACGATGCCAGGGAAGTGGTGACAAGCGCCGTAACCGGCGTAGCCGCCACTCTGAAGCGCACAAGAACGTTGCACAGCCAATGATTTTTCGCGCTGTTTCCCCTGTCAAACTGTTCTTGAGTTTACCTTTCCAGATAGCGAAGTACCAGAGTTCGCTGCAATTTCCTTGCTGAGATCATAGATTTCATAGTGCTTCGTAGTATTCCTGGGTCCGTCCCGTGACGAGAAGCCAACCAGAGAGGCTTTCTCAAAGGACAAATGAGGGTCGTGGGAGAGGTTTGGAACTATTTAGAATGCACGAAAGGCATCATGGTAGAAAGAAATGAGAGGCTATCTGGAACGGCTGGAAGCTTTGCTGCTGTGCTTTCCGATGGTTAATGTACACCATTAACAGAGCTCGAACTTGAAGAATGCATTAGCAGCCGGCTTGTTCTTGCTGCTGATCCGCCTTTTGTAACAGGCGGCGTTCTCAGCAGCATGCAAGTCAGTGCATTATGGCACATGTAGAGTGCAACATCTGCAAGAAAGGAAGGCCCGCTGCTTACTGCGCAGGATCTCAGGTGCGCCGCTATTACCTTCCAGGATACACAACAAAACTAGCAGCTAACATTTGGCTTGAGCATTTTCTAATCTTCCATGTTACTTAAGGTCATAGAGGTGGGCTGGAAGATTAGCGTTGCATCCATCGAAAGATGCTGTAAACCGATTTCTCACCAACCGCTAGGTATTCTTGTCTCCATGCGCCCATTCTGCACCCAGAATTGAAGCACCAGCGTGGCCATGCCCCTCAGCCCTTGCTGGCGTCCTTCCAGAAATGCCACATGGAGCTGGTCAGCCTTCAAAATCAAGAAATGACGGGGACCCGCAACCCCGTTATCTTGATCATTATTTCTTTGACACTGAAGCGGACCCTAAGGTGTTTCGGTGCATTTCTTCCGCTGAAAACGAGTAGAATGCAGCTCTCTATTAAAGGGCTAGCTGATTGGCCTTGTGTTTGCTCCGCAATTCGTGCTCGTCGAGGGTCTGCGCTGAACCAGCAGCCAATATTTTTCCGCTGCGTACGTGCTGATGTGTGCCTAATTCAGAGCATTTGCCGCTCTGCAGATCGCATGTGCTTGCCCGTAGGTCTACGTTGTACATCTAAACACTGCGGAGTGGTCTGCGGTTGTGGTGTTCAGCGAGACCAGCACTGCTGCTCAGTCGCGAACAGGCCGTAATTTACTGCAAAACATGGTTCATCCCTCTATCTACTGTGGAATTACTTAGTTGAGCAGCATGTTTTGTTTAGAGACTATTGATTTCTTAGAAAGAACTAGGCTGTCCCGAGTCCGCGTCGCCATATTCGAGTCACCGGCGGTCCCAACGGAATTATTACCTAGACACCCTCAAGGCTTAATCTTCCCCCAAAACGTACAACTTAATTTGTCAATTAATCTCTACACACTCAGTTAGCGGAAAATGTTCTGCTTTCGTAGGCACTGGTAGTGCCCCGCGCTACGTTCATTATTGGGTCGAATCCGAACCCCGCACGCAATCGGTTCTGGCAGTGGTTTACGCAACAGAGGGAGGCCAGATCCAGCAAAAATGCCTCCTTAATTAGCGTGACTGTGCAACTAAGAAATATATAAACGATTGTTGCTGCTGATTTCCTGTGTTTGTTGTGTTTTCGTGAGCATTAGCCAATAGTATCGCTTGAAAATTGCCAGAGCTCTCAGTCATGCTCTCCTTGTCTTGAATTTCCGCTTGATTTCTGATGACTATGTCTTGAACGAGGAACTGAAATCAAAGGTTACACAACTTTTCTAGTTTTTTGCACAAATGGAAGGCAGCCAGTGGACTGCCGAACCCTGGGCCCCTGGGGAGGCTTCTTCAGTTGTTGCTTTGCCCCCAATTGGGGTGGAGAATCACTGTAATTATGCAAGAGATTATACTGTTCGGCGTCCTTCTGCTTCCCGGTGTCGACCTAACTTGGCATTTGCTGTTACTGCTGTCTTCACTTCCGTACTTACCTTAATTTTCGCTATATCGCTGTGTTTCCACCCCGTCGTAAGGGCAACGCAACCGAGAACAGCGCTTCGCAGGCTTTCAGCTGGCGTTGAAACTCCAGAAACACCTACCAGCGATGGTTCCCCGGAGTACCTATGCGAAGTTGCCCTTTCCGTGGGAAGGTCTCCCTCAGAGATGCCCGAATCTCCGGAACTTCCCGTGGAAACTACGGAACCAAAAGAGGAGGCAACTCAAATGCATGATACGGAATACAATGAAAAAACGCCTTCGACGGACGCTTCAGAGGGATGGAACGAGAGAGGCAACAATATGCCCCTTGAAGGCGAAAACCCAATGTTTACCAATCCAGTCACAAAAACTATTAATGAAAGTTTTCCCGCCTCACCCGTGGAAGAAGAAGACGAGTCTGAAGTGCCAAGTTCTTCCGTGGAAGTCATAGAGATCTCAGACTCACCAGAGGAAGAGAGATATCCAGAGGTTGTAATCATATTAGACGAAGACTCAGTAGACTGCACAAAAGAAATAGAAATGTCTCCCAAAGTGCGCACACCGACCGGGCCTCCGGTGTCCCCGCCTTCTGTGAAATTAAGCCCTTTATTTTACGATAAAGTTGTTGGTAAGAGGGAGCGGCAGACTAGGTTGTTTGACGGCTTTGACGAGCCGCCAGCGAAAAGGTTGGCGGCTGGAGAAGGGGAGCCGGACCTTGCAGTGGAAATTTCTCGGCTTGATTCACTTCTAGACGACCCCCCTCGAACGGCTGTCGACCTGGTGCGGACACGCCTTCTACACTGGCCGCAACCTCAGCCGCCATATTTTCCCGCCAGAGTGAAATTGGGGGACGGAGTTGAGTACCCCCTGGGGCATGTAGGCGCTAATGCGTTGACATTGGGGCGTTCGAAACATGGAAATTACCTGACAGCCGGCGGCTTTGGTGATAGTATTCCCAATGATATTTATCTTGCGCTTTTTGGAATACCGGATATTGATAAATCTGCAGGCCCACGTTTTGAAGTGCCGGAGGCTGGTGAATCTGCAGACCAAGATCAGGGTCCTGTGGTGATTTCTTCAGATTCAGACGATGGTATGGAACCTGAGATGAACACCTGTCGCGGGAGGGTGAGCTACGCTCTGCCTCTGTGTGAATTGAGCTGCTGCCCTGTCCACTAGTCGTTGGGCATTTTCTGTAACCTGCCTTATTCCATCCCGTATTATGAAAATTGCTGCTCGAGTCGCCTGCTAAACAACCCATAATATGTCTGTTTTGTTGCAGGGGCGTCTGCGGGAACTTACAGCCCCAGCGAAAGTAAAACGCTTCCTTGAAAACGAAGGTTCTGCAATCCATCGCATGCTCCAGGCGAGATTTCAACATCTGCCAAAATCAGTAAGTCGCCGAAGGGAGAGTAATTCAGTGGTATTACTATTTGATTGTTCACTGGCTCCCACCTGACTGCTTTTGAGAAGTTCGATTGTGTCCACTTTGCACTCCATCGACCTCGTCTGATCGGCTCCATCATGTTTCAAGCTGCTTCCTGTGTGAATGGTTTGTGACCTTTGGGACCTCCCACTATGTCTTAGATAGCCATTACCAAAGTTTGCTATACTCCTCATGCATGCGCAGCCCTATTTTGCCTTTATAAGGGACAGTTTCGGGTTTTTGAGAGGTGATATTACATCGCGAAATTTGGAGAGAGTATCCAGACCAACGATGGGCATTTAGATTCAGACACTTCGTGCCCTTTTGTGTGCCTTAACAGCTTATTCCAATTATATTGGACTAGAGATGTTTCATGGTTAACTAGAAATTATATTTCCTGAGGGACAAGCTAAATCGACCCTGCGTTGTGCGCAACGTCCCTTGAGCACTTTGTGGCTTTTGTGCTTTTCAGCTTGTTACAGTTCTCGAATCCCGGAAAAGTGAAGGATGTACAGAGTGCTACATGAAGCACCCGTTTTATCGGTTGCCGTCTGTCCGTAAGATGAGACCCGTTCGCGTATTTAATTTCGAAGAGCTAGATGCAAGAAGGGTTTGTCGCGTCGACATTTACCCCCCCTTATTCAGCCTTCGGGAAGTCCTGAGTAGGCGCGAGGTTCATGGGTCTGCATTGAAAACGCTTCTCAGATCCTGTGAAGATCTTGTTGAATTTTTAATCACCGCTCCACAGACAGAAAGAAATACTGACTTCCCGTGCTTTCTACAGGAGGCACTTGGACGGCGTTTTCTTGCGCTGGATGCTGTGTGGTGTATTTGCGAATTACTTGGCCCAGCAGCGCAGAAAGAGAAGTGGTGGCGCACAATGATGGATAGTGTATTAGAACTACCACAGTTACGCATTCCGCAGACGATGCACCAGCATAGCCGATTTCCCCTTGTGATGAAGCTCGCTGCTGTGTTGTATGAATACAATGATGGGCAACGCCCTCCACCCAGGGAGGTAGTTCAACTGAAGAGGGACCTTTTCGACATGAACACTGGCCCGCGCTTTTTTAGGTATGAACGGTGGAACCCATGGCGGGAAGATGATAAGGAAGCTACAGAAAACTCCATAGAATGTACACTTGCTGAAAATGAAGCAACGGAAGAATCTGACGAATCCACGGCTTGTTAAGGGAGCTGCATTATTCTTTGCAGCTCAAGCCCAAGTCCCTCGATTTCTTCGCTGCAAGTGCGTCAAAAACTGGCGATTTTTGGCTTTCAGCGGAAAAAACATGACTCTCAGGGGATTTGGCGCGCGATAAGAATCATGTGGAATTATCTTTACAATCCAAAGGGAAGAGGGATGCAACGTCATTCCGCGTTTGGCAGATTCCCACTGAAACGAGGCCCATGCCTGGAGAGGACAACGAAGGTCAAAAGTGCAAGTGTACCACGCAGGTTTCTTTCCTTTTTAAAAGCATTCATGAGTGAATTGTTACCTTTTAAAGGCGTCGTTTGCTGACTCCGGTGTCTTTTACTGTACTCAGTGTGCTCTTTCATGTCCCCGTAAGGTGAACTCGGCGGCCTGATTCGGAGCGCACAGAACTCTTTGCAGTTACTGAAGCTGCCGTTGCTACCTAAGGCAACAAAAGCTGTAAATCTGTGACGCAACGCCGGCGTGCCGCGAATTTTTTCTAGAAAAGTGCAAGCAAGAACACAGCGCAGTAGGAACAGCTCACGGCAGTGCTTTTGAGGAAGATACTGCATTTGTGGATTTCAAAGACTAAAGAACTGCTCGAGCCCAAGACTTTTACTGGGATGCGACATAACAGTGCACAATTCGCCAGTTTTGTACGACAGCACCTGTGTGCACCAGCTGGCTTCCCGTGGCACTCTGGCATTATTGCGCAGGGAGTGGTGGTCTCTACTGTTGAAGCCAAACAGCAGACACGGTAAAATGTGCCTGCATTGAGGAAGTTGCATGTTGATTATCTGGATCGTATATTGTTCAAATGACGCAATAAGGCATCCATTGTGAGTGTAGGGCGGCCGAGAAAGAACTTCAAAGGCCTCAAATGGAGAGTGCTCAATCAGGAACAAATATAGTTTTTTTTTCCTCTGTTCGAAAAGGCGGAGTCTGCAACAGAAGCCAACCCCGAAATGAGTCTGTTCTCTATTCGCGATCTACACTACAGCGAGTGGTAAGGCAAGGTCTTCGTCTCTGAAGGCACCGCCCAGTCCCAAAGCACAACTGTGTCATCTTGCTCATTCAAATTAACGATATGGCGGCATCACTTCTTGGAATGGCCCGCTCAGAGGTGAGCAGTGCTGCACCTATAACCCGAGCGGTGACTGCTGCTCTCCAAGGAAGGCCGCTTTCTAAACGCGCTGGGACAAGCGCGCTTTTTGTTTTGAGGCAATTTTGAGGTAGAATTTGTTCAGCCACCTTTTGCATGCGCTGAACTGTCGCTGCTCACACAAAGTAGGGCGTTTGGCATCCCTGCTACCTGGCACTGATGAGTTTCATCTGCAGTTTCCGAAGTATGTTGCCTCTTCACCACCATCTGTTGTTCGCATTGTTTCGCCGCTTCATGCTTATTGCTGGTCCTAGCCAGCGCCGCGCTGACCGCTACAAGCTGAATGCATGCCAGGTTTATGAGTTTTGTACAAAGTCTTTTGTGCCTGTCTCCTGCTGTTTCGCAATTTGGGGCATATGTGGACTCATTTATGCATAGAGCCCCCTATGCATTCTATGCATTCTATGAACTGTTTCGTATTCGTAACCCTGCTGGCGTACTCGCTAGTGAACCATTTGCGTAGCTCGGCACTTAGCCTTGCCTTTAATTGGCTTTGACGCTGCCCGTGCAGTGCTTGTTCCTTTAGCAGATACCGAACACCCATTTTCTGTCTAGTGGTGTTCACGATTCTGCTGCTGCTGCTTTTTTTGCTTTTATTGCCTACACCTTCTGCGGCACACCACGGGTACCTAGCGCAACAGAAAGTTTCCCCTTGAAGCATAGAGTTAAACCGGTGGCCTCCAGCAACACACCAGCCCCCTGAACGATGTGAAAAGCCAGAGTCCTGAGTGACGCCACAGCAGCGGTGGGGCCCCCAAGGTCTGCCCTGGGGACACTAGGGCGTGGCCTTTCAAAGCTCTGGGGAGGGGTAAGAAAGCGCGGGACCTTCCGACAGTCACGTAGCGACTTATGGCCTTTTTAACATTGGTGGGAGCTGCTGAAAGCTAGCTGCAGAGTTTCGTAGCACACGAAAAGCTGGCTCGCTGCTGCAAGCAAAGTAGCAGCTCGTTGCATCTCCACGCTGAGTGTACAGAGGCCGCCTTTACTCTTCGCAGGCAAAGAACTCTTCGCGCACTATTCTTCTTGCCATCCCTGCGGCCCTCTCTGCCAAGGAGAGGCGTTTGTCTTCAGGATCTTTTCTGCTTCTTCTTCCGCCATTTGCCCCTCCCACTTGACCTGCCGGGGCCCCACAATCTCCTTGTGGAAGCAGCAAGGATTTGCTGCCTCTGTAGACAGAAGGATGTGGGGGTGGCCTGGCGCGTCGCCTCCAGTTCTCTGCCCGTGCTCTCGCTCCGCTGCTGCTGCTGCTGGTGTGAATGCTGCTTCGTGAGCTGTTTCTGCTGCTGCAGCTTCTATCTTCGGTGCGCCTTCTCCAAGCCCTTTCGAAGGGCACTAAGCCACTCCGCCTTTGCACAGTTTGCTGCAGTGGAGGGCGTGCTGCAGCACGAGGGCTGCAAAAGCTTCTCCAGTGCCCTTCCAGCCTTTGCTGCTGCCGCCGGCAGACGCTTTCCGGCCGCCATTGCTGCCTTTCTTTCCGAGGCTCTCTGCTACTGTCTAAGCACCTCCAGAGCTCGTCTTGGGCTTGCTGCTGCTGCGGCTTCTGCCGCCACACCGGCGGCTGCTGCCGCTGCTGCCCTCCCACTGCAGCAAGGCGGCTGCCGGACGGCTCCTCGTGACTGAACTTTGCTTTCCGCAGCTCTCCATTGTTTTTGTTGCAGTTTGCAACAAAGACTTCTGCTGGTTTGGCGGGAGCTGGCAGCCTTTTCTCCAGCCGCAGCGGAGGCACAGGCGCGGGGGCCCTGAGATATTCATGGGACAGCCCCGAGTCTTGCTGCTGCTGCCTGTGTTGCTGCTGCCTCTGTTGCTGTTGCTTTGCAGGCTGCTGCTGCAGTTGAGGCGGGGGCTGCGGCGAATGCCTCTGCAACTGCGGCAGCTGCTGCTCCTGACACCGCTGCTGATTTCTTTGAACGGAATGGTACATGGGTGGCTCCACCTGTCTGGCGGTGGCGCGGGTGTCCTTTTGCACTCGTTGGACTTTACTTGCGTACGGCTGCTGGTGCTGCAGCTGTTGCTGCTGCAGCTGCTGGTGCTGCTGCTCCAGCTGATACGGGGTGTTCTCCCTAGGTATAGCTCGGCGCAAGTGATTAGTAGTCTGTTGCTGCTGGCTGTCTGCTATCCAGTGCTGTTGCTGCCCTTGCTGCTGCTGCTGCTGTTGCGGCTGCTGAGGAAACGGCGAGTGCACTTCCGTTACAGTAGTCGCCACCAGGCTTCCGATTCTGCTGCTGCTGCTGCTGGGCTGCAGCGTGCAGCAGGAAAGGTCACTTTGAAAGACGATTTCGCCGCGCGCCTCTGCTGCCTCTTGCGCAGCAGAAAGGCCGAAAATGCCAATGGCCCCAGACTCCCCAGAGCAGGCAGAAGCCCCAGATGCTTCGGCGCTTCCTGCTGCAGCACTTGACTTGAGACAATTCATAATGGGCAGCCGCAGTCGGGGGTAGTTTTGCTGCTGCTGAGGAAGCACGGGTCGCCGCAGCGGAGACGGCGCTGCTGCTTCTGCGTGCAGAATTCGTGCAGCTGCAGCACCAGCTCTGGGCGCAGCAGCAGCTCCTTGCTTCCTTCTCTCCTCCTCCACAGCATTGCTGGCTTCCTGCTCTCCAGCAGGACCCCCAGGCTTCCGCTGCAGCACAGGCTGAGGTGCAGCAGGCTCTTCGAGAGCGCCACTGGCGCCCCAGGAGGGGCCGTAGCTGCGGCCTTTCTTGCGATGAGGACAAGACGGGGCACCGGAAGCAGCAGCTGCAGCAGCAGCAGCAGCCGTAGCAGCAGCAGCAGCCGCAGCAGTAGCAGCAGCAGCAGCATTGCTATTGTCCAATGCCGCCGTTGCGCCGAAGGCTGCCGACGTGCGGGCCTTTTCCACATGCTCTTGATGCGGCTGCGCGTGGGCCCACTGTGTTGTCACAAGCTCCCCAGCAGCAGCAGCAGCAGCAGCGCCAGCAGCAGCAGCAGCGTCACGATCGGCGCTGACTGTTTGCCTGTGTCGAAATTCAGTGCTGCTATTGCTCCCGCTGCTGCTGCCGTTGCAGCCTGTACTGGGCACTGTTTGCCTGGGGCTTCTTTGTGGGCCTCCTGCTCTAGGGTAGCAGCTCGCCTCAGGCTGCTGTAGCGCTTCAGGTGCAGCAGCAGCAGCAGCAGCAGCAGTAGGCGCAAGCAGCAAAGCGTGCAAGTCGCCGCCGTTTAGTTTGCGCTGGCTGGAGCGCGCATGAGGTCCAGCTTCGTTGGAAGCTGCGGAGCCCAGCAGAGCCTGCTCAGCGTTTCTTACGAGCTGCAGGGCTTGCTGCACTGCTGCTGCTGCTGCTGTTGCCCGCTTGCTGTCGTGGCCTTGGAGGAGCAGCTGCTGCTCCTGCTGGAGCTTCTGCTGCAGCTCGTGCTGCAGCAGCCCCCACAGCAACCCTGCTGTCTTTTGCTGCTTTGGAGAGTGAAGCGGTTGGGGCAAAGCCCGCTGCAGCAGCAAGGCATTCAAACAGGCAGCAGCAACGCCTGCAGAGGCAGAAAAGGACTTTTGCTGCTGCAAACGGCCCTAGCGCATGCAGCAGAGAAGGGTAAAATGGGCAAAACGGGGGTGGATGCAGCAGCAAAGCAGTGCATGTATTTTTTCCTTACCCGGGGGTGCAGCACAGTTCCAATCTCCGTCTCGCGTTGCGGGTCAGGCGCTGCTGCTGCTGCTGCTGCTGCTGCTGCTGCTGCGCCTGCTGCGCCTGCTGCTGCAGCGGCGGTCTCGGCGTGCTGCAGCGTCTCTCCCGGCAAGGCAAATACTTGCCTTTGCTTCAAGAACCCGCAGCGGCACCGGCAAACGCAGCCAGGGCCTCCCCGCCTGCTGCTGTTGCTGCGGCTGCTCGTCATGTTGCTGTTGCTGCTGCTTGTTCCCCTTTCGCTGGCATACCGCACTGCTTCTTCTCTTTGTGCTGCTGCAGCTGCAGCAGCCTGTACTGGCGCTGCAGCTTTTGGCAGCACTCCAGGAGTGCCCAACGCATACGCTTTTGCTGCTGATGGCGTTGCTGCAGCAGCAACGTTTCCTGTACCGTCGAGAGGACCTGCCTCATTGCTAGTCTGCAGCAGCAGCAGCTGCTGCTGCTGCTGATGCCTGGCAGAGACATCCCGAGTCACTGAAGGCTGCAGCGGGGAGCCAACAGCGTAGCCGCTTGGGCCCGGAAGCGCAGCTGCTGCAGCTGTTCCACCTGTGACCGCAGCAGCCCTTGCTGCTGCCGCTGCTGCTGCTGCTGCTGCCGACCTCGCTGCTGCTTCTGCTGCAGCTGCTGCTGGCATGGTGTCTGCACTCTGCGGGTAACTGACACTGCAGGCTGCCCCGTGAGCTGCTACTGCTTGGATTATTCTTTCGCCTTGTTGGTCTTCTAGCAGAACAGCATCTGGCAGCAGCTTCTTCTCTTGTTGCTGCTGCAGCACCCAGGGTAACGCCTGCTCCTGTTCCTGCCGCAGGTGCTTCTGCTGCGGGTGCTGTTGCTGCGGGTGCTGCTGCTGCTGGTGCTGCTGCGGCAGGAGCTGCTGCTGCTGGTGCTCCTGCTGCCGCTGCTCTTGCACTTGTTGTAGCTGGGGAGATTGAGGCAAAGACAAACCCACAGGCGCTCTTACATTCTGTTGGCCGCCTCCAGCCGACGGGTGATCAGCAGCAGAAGTTCGTGCTGCTGCCTTAGCTGCTGCTGCAGTTGCCGCTGGTGGCTTTGCTGCCCCGTCGTTGCTGCAGCAGCCACCGATACCCCCAAGCCCCTTTGCGAGCCGGTTTGCGTTGAGCAACTGCTGCGTCACCAGACGCTTCTCTTCTAGCTGCTGCAGCAGCAAGGCCTGTTCTTTAAGGCGCATGCAAATCTCCAGCCTCAGCGCAGCAGTTTTGCGGCTTTTTTCCCCCTGGCTGCTGCTCCTGTTGCTGCTGCTTCCGTTGCTGCTGCAGCTGCTGGACGGAGCGCCAGGGTCCCGCAGCCGGATAGGCACAAAGATTCCTCTGAGCTCGGGTAGTTGCTGTAATTGCTGCTGCTGTCGTGGTAGTTGCTGCTGCGGCTGTTGGTGCTGCTGCTGTTTGTGCAGCTGCCGCTGATGCTGCTGACATCCTGTTTCGTGCTGCTGCTGCCACAGCGGCTCCCTAAGTGCTTCTTCAGGCGACCTTAGACGAGTGATTGCCTGCAGCTCTTTTCCTTGTGGAATGCCTCTGCGCAGCGTATCAGCTGCTGCTGCAGCAGCAGCAGAAGGGGCACCAACAGAAGCAGCAGGAGATGCAGAAGCAGCAGCACCTGGTCCTGCTGCAGCCTCCCTTGGCTGCTGTTCCCAGCCCTCGCCATTTCGGCGACGCTCCACGTTTTGCTTTTGCGACTGCTGCTGCTGCTGCTGCTTTTGTTGCCGCTGCAGCAGCTGCTTCTGTCCCGCGCTGGTCCCTTTTTCCCTTTCTGATGTCAAGGGAGAAGCTTCAGCGCTGATTTGGTTTTGCAGCAAAGACCAAGGAGGTGTTACTGTGCCATCAAACTGATGCGGCGAATGCCTGTTTGGTGAAGCAGCAGGCGCAGCAGGTGCAGCAGCAGCAGCAGCAGCAGCAGCAGGAAGTGCAGCAGTGTTTTGGTGCTGGTCAGCCTGAACGCGCGGCCAAGCAAATACTGTGCCTCTCTCGGCTGATGCTAGCACAGTTACTGGGAGGGAGCGTCTGCGCACACTGCCAATGCTGCTGCTGCTACTGCTGCTGCTGTTGCTGTTGCTGCTGCTGTTGGTGCTGCTGCTATTCCTTTTCGGCGCAGCGCTGGCAGCTCCCCTAGCTGCAGCAGCAGCCTTTAAATGAGCATCTGCAGCGCCAAAGCCCGAGCCTTTTGTAGAAGCCCTAAAGAGGTGCAGCCCCAGCCTGCTGCCTGCAGCAGCATTCCTGCTGCTCTTGTCCGAGGGAGCAGCATCGGCAGGAGCAGCATTTGCAGCAGCAGCAGCAGCAGCAGCATCGTTCACTTTGTTGCTGCGACCGCGACGCAGCAGCTGACGAATTCTAGCTGTCCCCTTCTGCAGCAGCTCGAAAGAAGGGCTCCTCAGTGCTGTTTGCCTCTTTTCTTTGCGGGTGTAGCTGCGGGTGCTTCTGCTGCAGCTGCTGCTGCTGCTGGTGCAGCGGAGCTGCGGCTCTTCCGACTGGTATGTGCTCGATCCTGCTGCTGCTGCACGTGACGCGACGCGTGCAGCAGTTAATCTCATTTTATATCATTTATTTGCCGCACCGGCAGCAGCGGCACAGCAGCAGGAGCACCAGGAGCAGCAGGACACCAGGTCTTGCATTAAAGGCTCTACTTAGCATGCTACACATACTTTGCTAATAGCTGTGGCCCTGCTGTAGCTGCATGTGGTTTCGCCGCTGCTGCTGTTGCTGCTGCTGCTGCAGCTGCTCTTGCTGCTGCTGCTGCAGTGACTGCCTTCAATCGCAAACCTGCGCCCGTCCTCAGCTCCCATAGCGTCAGCTCTTCTGCTAATTCAGCTGTATGCGGCCGTGACGAGCAGCAGCAGCAGCAGTAGCAGCAGCAGCAGCAGAAGTTGCCTCTACCTCTACAGTGACCTTCTGCTGCTACGGCGCCAGCAAGCCACGGCAGCGAGTGACATACAGATACGTTCTGCCAAACCTGTTGCAGCTGTGGCTGCTGGTACAGAGGGAGCTTTAGCAGCAGCCTGAGCAGCAGCCGCAGCAGCAGCCACAGCGGCAGCAGCAGCAGCAGGTCAGAAGCAGGGTCACCGCTGCACCGTCCCCTGGCAAAGCCTCTTCCCAGCGAAGATCTGGCCGAAATGCATCTTCTTAGGGCAGATTTAGCAGTGAAACTTTTCTCTCTTTAACCCAGGGCAAAAGGAAAGAAGCTGCTGCTGCTGTGGCAACAGCAGCAGCAGCAACAGCAGCAGCAGCATGGGGCCCTCTGGCAGCAGCAGCAGACACTGCATGGGTCTTAGCAGAAGAGCTGTGCTCCTCCTGGACTTCGGTGCCGCACGATCTTGTTCTTTTCTGTTATTTTTTTCAAAATTAATCATCCTTCTGCAGCATTTCCTTTTGCTGCTGGTGGTGGCTGCCCCGGCAACGCTGCAGCACCGACCGACAGCAGTAGCGGCAGCAGCAGCAGCAGCAGCAGCAACCACAACTGCAGCAGGAGCCGTGACTGCTGCATGCGTTCAGGGGGACACACAGCTTCTAAGCGCAGGAAGATGAACAGCAGCAGCAGCAGCTGGAGCCAGCCGCCTGCAGCAGCAGCAGCAGCAGCAGCTGGCGAGCAGCAGCAGTCCTCCTCAGCGCACGAGCCTCTGTCTGCTGCACTTCTAGAAGACACAGCAAAACGCATGCAGCATGCAGACTCCTTCTGGGGGCAACTGGAGGCAGCAGCAGCAGCAGATGTGGGGCCACAGAGAGCGAAACGGTAAGCTGCTGCAGCCCCTGCTGCAGCTGCTGCTGCAGCTGCAGCTGCTGCTGTAGCTCCTGCTGCGGCTGCTGGCGCAGCTCCTGCTGCTGCTGCTGCTGCAGCTCCTGCTGCAGCTTCTGCTGCTGCTGCTGATGCTGGAGCTTCAGCGCTGCTTCCGCGGTGCATGCATGCGGCATCTACATAATTTATAATTATACAAATTATAAATGTATTTATAAAAATTATAAATCTTTTTTTTAAAAAGTGCATTTATGGTGTAAGTACTCTTGTGGTGTTTCTGCTGCGCCTCATGTACACTGCAGAGTTTGCACTTCACATGTTCGCTGTTCGCTTCTGTTTCTGTTTGCTGCTGCTGCTGCTGCTGCTGCTGCAGCTCAGAACTATTTAGGACTTTCTCTTTTGATTATTCTCTTTGTCTATTTGTCTGCTGCAACAAATTGTTTTCCCATTTGTCTTTTTCTTTTGCTGCTGTTTATATTTTCAAGGAGGGCATTTGTGGTTTGCTGCAGTGGTGCGTTCCTGGCTGCGGCTCTGTCTGCCAACCCTAAACCCTAGACCCTAAACCCTAATTTAGGGTTTGGCTGCCTGCGTTTGCTGCCCAGGCTCGTTGAAGTCTTCAGGCGCAGCCACAAACAGAAAATTGACGCCACAAATTTAGAACATGCTGAGCAGCTTGCTGCTCAGATATTTTCTGCGCTGCAGCAGCAGCAGTAGATTTACTGCAGCTGCAGCGCGAGCAGCAAAAGCTGCAGCAGCAGCTGCTGCTGTGCATTCAGCGCCAGAACCGGAAGCACCGCGAAAGCGGCTGCAGAGATACTCTCCGCCATGCAGCAGCAGCAGCAAACGAAACGGCGAGGGTGCAGCACCTAAGCCAGCAGCAGCAGCAGTTGCTGCTGCTGCTGCTGCTGTTCTTGCCGCAGCGCGCCGCGGACGGACAGCGTCGGGCTCTTCTGCTGCAGCAGCAACTGCAGCAGCAACAGCAGCAACTGCAGCAGCTCCCCAGTACGTAAGCCAAAAAGTTAAAAAGGCGAGGTAACAACCCGCCCGTCTGTCCTTGCTGCTGCAGCAGCAGAAACGCAGCAGCTGCAGCAAAGGCACCCTTTTGCCACAGCACAAGCCGCAGCAGCTGCTGGAAATCGATGTGTGCTGTACTGTCTGGCAGCAAGGAATTCTCCTGCAGCAGCAGCAGCAGTTGCTGCAGCAGTTTCTGGGCAGCAGCTGCAGCAATTGCTAAGACAGCGGCAGCGGTTTTGCTGTGCTGCTGCAACGGACGCAGCAGCAGCAACTGCTGCAGCTGCTGCACCTGCTTTTTCCCTGCTTTTTACTATTGTGGCAACAGCTGCAGCCACTGCCGCGGGACTTACATCTGCTGCTGCAGCAGCAGCAGCAGCAGCAGCAATCGCTGCGGATGTAAAGCGCCCAACTACTACTGCCATTATTTCTTGAACGTAAAACAGCAGCAGCAATAGCAGCAGCGGCGCTGCCGCTGCTGCTGCTGCTGCGAGCTCCAGTGTACAGACACCGCAGCCTAGTCAACACTCATAGCGCCCTGCGACGCCTGAGACATCGTGCGCGGCAGCAGCGAGTCCTCATCGTCTTGCTGCTGCTGCTCTTGCTGCTGCTGCTGCCGCTCTTGCTGCTGCTGCTGCTCGAACGGCCTGGGCAGCAGCAGCTGCTGCTCGGAGTCTTCTGTTTCTGGCAGCAGCAGCATGCCGTCCCGCTCGAAGGCTGCTGCTGCAGTTAGGCCGTCGAGGCCCGTTTGCTGCTGCTGCAGCTGCTGCAGAGCAGCAAGGGGGTCTGAGGGCTTCTGCAGCTGCAGCAGCTCCTGCTGCTGCAGCAGCGGCGGCAGCTGCAGCAGCGGCAGCAGCTCGTTCCGTACGTACGGCACAAGAGCCATGCAGGAAGTTGTGGGGCCCGGTGGGGGTGAAGGTCCCACTGCGGGAGCTTGTGCTGCTGCTGCTGCTGCTGCTGGTTCTGCTGCTGCTGCTTCAGCTGGTGCAGGTGCTGCTACCGCCGGGGCTGCTGCTGCTGCTGCTGCTGCTCTTTGCAGCTGCGTGTCTGCTGTCTTGAGGCGGGTGGACTTCGGGAAGAAAACTTCTGAACATAAAGATCGCTTGCGATTGGAAGATACGTAAGGCTGCTGCTGCAGCTGCTGCTGCAGCTTCAGCTGCTGCTGCTGCTGCTGCTGCGGAGCGGGCTCAACAGGAGGGCTTCTACCGCGTCTTGAGCTCCCCCCCTCGCTCAGCAGCCGCTGCCGCTTCTGCTGCCGCAACGGCAGCTGCTCCTGCTGCTGCAGCTGCTGCTGTAGCTGCTGCTGCTGCTGCAGCAACTGGTGCTGCAGCTGCTGAGGTTGCAGTGGTGCAGCAGCGGCAACGCTGGGGTGTGGCGGTGCAGCATCAATTATTGGAGATAGGCCCCGCTTCTGAGCTGACGGCATGTTGCTGCCGCGATCGTTGCCGCTGCTACTGCTGCTGCTGCTGCTGCTGCACTTCCACTGAACCTGCTGCTTCTTCTGCTGCTGCTGCTGCTGTTATTGCTGCAGAAGGGTTCCAGGCCCTAACTGCCACTGAAGGTGCTGAACTTTCTGCTGCAGCTGCGTGCGCAGCAGCAACAATGACTCGTGCTGCATGCTCCTCCCAACAGTCTGATTTCGCCTTTCGCTGCTGCTGCTGCTGCTGCTGCTGCTCCTTTGAGGGCAGCTGGTGCTCTTTCCGCAGCAATGAGCCTCAACTTGATGTGTAGCCTGAGGAAGGCTGTTCAGCAGTAGAAGCAAGCAGCAGCAACACACAACCCGGCAGCTGCGCCCCTATTGCTGCTGCTGCTGCTGCTGCTGCTGCTGCTGACGGCGGAGCAACTCGAGGCCTAACTTGTTTTTAAGCAGCAAACAGAAGGAAATGGTTTTTAGAAAAGAAATGAAAACTCACAGACAATTAATTGCAGCCTTTGGGCCGGCAGATTCTGGGGGGCAAGCCCAGTGCCTGCTGCCGTTGGTGTTGCTGCTGCTGCTGCTGCTGCTGCTGCTTTTGCTGCTGCTGAATGCAGAGTTGGAGACCCCGGGAGGCTTCTTTTTTTTTAAATTGAAACGTGTTTTGGCTGCTAGTTAGAATCTTAATTTGTCCGTGCGCAGCGCAGCAACGGGGGGCCCCCAAGTGTGCGTCAGTTCATTTGGAATTCTGCTGCCATCTGCTGCTGCTGCTGCTGCTGCTGCTGAGGTGTGGGGTGTACGTACACTGCAGAGGCCTAGTAAAGACAGCCCCTGCAGGCTCTTTGAGGGTCAAATATGCGGCGGGGTGTATCAGCAGCAAGAGGCGCCGCAGCAGCAGCTCCTGGAGTGTTGCAGGTGCAGCAGCAGCTGCAGCAGCAGCTGCTGCTGCTGCAGTTGCTTTTGTTTTCCTGAAACAGATATGAGGGACTGATGAAGCTCTCGCTGCTTCTTCAGTCCCCCCGGAGCTGCGGTGTCCATACACCTCAGGGTAGCCACTGCAGCAGGAGCCCGCAGGCTGCAGTGTACGTACACCTGAGCAGCAGCACTGGGCAGGGAGCAAAAACGCAGAAAATGGACTTTTAATTTTGTTTTAAACACAAAATAAAAGTTCCATTTCCTCCAATTGATCTAAATTAGAGAAAAGACTCCAATTGGAATCAAAGTCTTCGTGTTGGTTAAAAGCAAAACAAACAAAAGTAATTTTCAAAACTTTCAAAAAGACCAGCAAAGGCTCTCAGGCAAATAAACTCGAAAGATAAAAAATGCTCAAGTTCTAGTACGTGTATATATGTATAGCATATCATATATATGCCTGTGTTTATATATATGTATATATGTAAATATATATATGTATACATATATATAAATATATATGTATATATATATATATATAAATATATATATATATATACATCTACATATATACATGTATATATATATAATGTACATATATATATATATATATACCTGCATATATACAGCTATGTATCAAATACATACAGATATAATATATATTTGGTGAACATTTATATTCTTTAACATAACATTTAAAATTGCACTTCTGCTCCCTTGTGCTTTAAAAGGTCTTTTTCTTTCGGCGCGAAAAAGCAGAAGTGACCCTCCCCTGCAAGTCCAGGCGCATGCCACATAATGCATGCAAATGCATGCAAGTGCATGCAAGTGCATGCAAATGCATGCAAGTGCATGCAAGTGCATGCACTGCATGCAAGTGCATGCTTGCATGCATTTGCATGCGCCGGTGCTGCTGCCTATTTTCAAATTTAGATTGGCGGAACATTCGGGGAAAAGAGCTGCTGCCTCGTCTAGTTGTACATTAAAAGTGCATTTAATAAATTTAATTTGTGATTAAAATTCATTTCTAATTTGCAAATGCAATGCATGCACGCGCGCCAGGCTGTACATACACCTCAAAAGGCGCGGACAGCAAGTTGACAGCGCGGCAGCAGCAGCAGCACCAGCGCGTCTGCTGCTGCAGCGCCACAGCAGCAACGGCTGCGCCTCTGCTGCTTCAGCAGGCGCAGCCGCAGCAGCTACATTGCGTCTGCTGCTGCAGCGGGCGCAGCCGCAGCAGCGACATTGCGTCTGTTGCTGCAGCAGACGCAGCAGCAGCAGCAGCAACAGCGCGTCTGCTGCTGCAGCAGGCGCAGCAGCAGCAGCGACAGCAGCAGCAAACCTCAAGGATCGAAGCAAAGCCTAACTGCCCACTGGCGCTCCCCAGGCAGCAAAATGACACGCACTGCTCCAAACAGCTGCAGCACAGCTTCTTCTCCTTGCTGCAGGCCGCTGAGGGGCCCCGGGGGCCCCCGCAGCAGCTGCGCCGTTTCCTCGTCCACAGGCAGCGCGCACGGCGGCTCTTGCTGCTGCTGCTGCTGCTGCTCTTGCTGCTGCTGCTCTTGCTGCTGCTGCTGTTGCTGGTCACCAGCGCATGCAGGCGGCAGCCGCCGCACTCGAATTGAACGGACACAAGTGTCTCTTTTGAAGGCAGCAGCCTCGAGAGCCGCTGCAGCAGCATCCTCTGCAGCAACACAATCTGCAGCAGCAGCAGCAGCAGCAGTGCCACTTGCTGTAGCGTCCTCTAAACCAGTGTCATTTGCTGCAGCGTCCGCTGCTGCAACCCCGCCATCTTGAGCGCACGCTGCTGCAGCGTCTGCAGCAGCAGTTCCTGCTGCTGCTGCTGCTGCTGCTGCTGCGCTAGAAGGAGCAGCACTGGCTTCGCTTTCGCTGCAAGCAACCAGCTCCAGCCCGAGGGTCAAAAGGCTGCAGCTGCGGGCCTGCCGCAGCAGCGGCACAAACAGCTGCAGCGCGGGCTGAGTTGGGGTGTCTTCTTCCGCAGCAGCAGCAGCAGCAGCAGCAGAGCTGGTTGCTTCCTCTGTCCCGTCACTTAGATCCTGCAGGCCTGTGGCATCCTTTGTTTCCTGCGCCTCTTCGGCTGCATCAGGTCCTGCTGCTGTTGCTGCTGCTGCTGCTGTTGCTGCATCTGCGCCTACCCCTCCCGCTACTGCTGCAGCTGCTGCTGCTGCTGCTGCTGCTTCGGAGGGCCACGCAGGGGGCACGTGTATGTGGGCTATGGTGGCGTAGCCGTACTGCAGCCCCTGAGGATGAGCAGCTTTTAAATATTCATTTAAATACCAAGAAGAAAAAGACAATTGTGCATCTTCTGCTTTTCGTTTGCTGCGGTTGCAGTGCAGGCAAGTCACCTGCAGCAGCCGCAGCCACAGACGCAGCAGCAGCTCCGCAGCAGCAGCGGCAGCGAAACGAACAGCAGCAGCAGCAGCAGCAGCAAAACCGCAGCAGCAGCAGCAACTGCACCTCCAAATCTGCGAGAGGCTCCATAATGCTTTTTGCTTGCAAAATTCGATGAACTAAAATGTCTGCGTAGCGCCGAATGGGCGAAGTGAAGTGGAGGTACACCGGGAGAGCCAGGCCCCAGTGCCTGCAGCGGCAGCAGCAGCAGCAGCAGCAGCAGCAGCAAAGGCGCAAGTGCGACGTTGCAGGTAACCAGTCGACGCTACAGCTAGCTGCAGCGGCTCCAGCAGCAGCTGGAGCAGCAGCAAACCACAGTGGAGCACGCAGCAACAAAAGCTGCGACCCCAAAAGCACTAGGATCAGCAGCAGCAGCAGCAGCAGCAGCAGCAGCATACTCCGCGGAAAGCAGTTCCTCTGGCTTTTCTGTATTGAGCGCTGTGTCGGGCAGAGGCAGAGAGCCGTCTGCAGCGATTTCACTTGTGCGGTCCTTGTCACTAATGCTGCTGCTGCTGCTGCAGCTGCTGCTGCTGTTGCTGCAGCTGAGGTCCGCAGCAGCTGCAGCAATAGATGTTGCTGCTGCTGGAGCTACGACTCTATGGCTGGGGACGTACTCAGCCGGGAGCAGGTCTTTAAGACAAGCGAAACACAGGGCCTGAGAAAACCGAAGCAGCGCAGCAGAAGTAGCAGCGTGCAGCAGCAGCAGCAGCAGAAGCCTACGGCACAGCAGCAGCAGTAGCAGCAGCAGCAGCAGAAGCCCACGGCACAGCCGCAGCAGTAGCAGCAGCAGCAGCAGTATGTGCGGACCCCGAAAGCCTGAGGAGACATTCGAGAAGCGCAGAAGTTTAGCAGAAGCCCTAGGGAGACAGCGTCGGGCTCGCTTCCACCGTCGCTGGAGTCAGCAGCAGCAGCAGCAGCTGCTGCTGCTGCTGCAGGACCTGCTACTGCTGCTGGTGCTACGGGAGCCACAGCTTCTCCGGCTGGTTTGACACTGTGAGCAGCAGGCCCTTGTGCATCAGCTCCCTGACTCTCCTCAAGAAGAGCAGCAGAGGCGTCTAACTGCGCCTGCTGCTGTTGATCTTGCTGCTGCTGCTGCTGCTGCTGCTGCCTGAGCTGTGCAGCAGCACGAAACTCGCGTGCCAAGGAGGGGCCAATTAGCCGCAGCACTCGCTGCGTCGCTTGCGCGTTGCTGCTCCCGTGTCTCCGCACAACACCCCCAAATACTAGAGGTGACGCTGCTGCTGCTGCTGCTGCTGCTGCTGCTGCAGGTGCTGCTGCTTGACCTTCAACCAGCAGCTCCTCGGCCTCCTGCTGGTCGCTTAGACCACTTGCGTCAGCATAAGCAGCTGCAGCAGCATCCGTCGCAGCTGGGCTTGCGGCTGCCGCAGCACTCCCTGCTGCTGCTGCTGCTGCTGCTGTTGCTGCTGCTGCATGCCTGCTGTCGCTGACAATGCGAGCAGCAACAACGTGGTTGGCTAAAACCATCGCCTCTTCCACCATGGAGTGAGCCCACGGCCTTTGCTCCCTCACAACTCTCAGGCGCAGCGGGCCGCTGCTGCTGCTGCTGCTGCTGCTGCTGCTGCTGCTGCTGCT